ACGCAAATGTCGGCCATCACACCACGTGTAACGATCCCTGATGAAGGTTGGAGACCTGAACATTCATAGGTATGCGATGGCACGGCTACTGCATCCTATAAACACGGCAGCCCCTCATGCATGAACAACTCGTGTCTGCTTTGTCTCTGATGGTGGGTTTGAGCGGGAATCCGAAACGTCAGGCTTATAAAGCTCTTGTTCCACCGATCGTGTCTCCTTCTTAAAGACTGCTTCCTAGGAGTCGCCTTTTTGCTTCTATTAGTCAGTTTGTTGTCGTCATTATTTTGGGGGACTAGTAATCGTTGCCGAAAAGTGTACCTATGACCTTTTCTGGGTAAAAAAAGTCGTAATGTGAAACATCCCATCCGCTGTCCAAATGAATGTCAATTATTAATGTCCGTAAAAGCAAAACTGTTTAGTCGTATGCGCACACTAACCACCTGCAATTCAGGAATATTTAAAATAAACCCTTGGTAATATAATATCAATCACAATTCCCATCTCTAGTCTTCTAATGCTAAGACACAAAATCGGTGAGGAAGCATTGAAATATAATGTCAATCTCAATTCTTATCTTAGGTCGTCTAATGGCAACATACAAAATCGTTTATGAATTTTTGTCTCAAATCTGCTAATCCAGCAAACTTTTGGGCTGGCTGCAAGTTTCTGTCTAGAATTACTATGAGCAACGACTTTAGGCACTCCCAACATAATCCTAAAATGTTAACTAAAATTTCAAAAAGGTATTGCTTATTTATAGGGCGGTGCTACACAGCCTATGTGCCTTAAAAGCACAGTACTGTATCATCGCGCCTGTTTAAAATTTGTGATAGATTTTCAGTTCCGTTGCATAATGAATCTTCAAACAGTCTTTAAATAGACGGTCCTGCAGCTTAAAGTTTCAGCCAAATGGCTGAAATTAATAATGTATCCGTTTTTAGGAGATATGTACTGTGCCTCGTGCCTTTTTATATTGTATCTACCTTTAAATGCAAAGAGAGCCACTGACATGATCTGGTTCCTGCACTCAAAAATCAACTCCGAACTCCAATGGATATGAAACAGGTTAGGCGTTTTTGTCCGCCAGAATCGGTTAAACTGCCAGTCCGGTTCACTACGATGCGTCCTCGTCGGCAGAAGCTATCCGATCCTGAGGACACTGTTTCATTTCACTGATCCAGTAAAGAATGATCCTTGATGGCCAACGCTTATACTTTTCATAAACGTGATTTTTCTACAAATGCACTTTTAGGAGCGTACACATTTCAAATTAACAATTATAACATTATTGTAGTAGTTTTTGGAGTCCTGCCTTGGATCCATGTTCAAAATTTAAGACATCGCAACTGTTTTTCAAGGTATGAATGTTAAAAACGAAGAAAATACGGTTGATAGCGATTCATAATAAAATGTCAAATGACTTCAAAGACTCAGCCAGCAATATTAAAAACTGAAGAAGGCCAAATGTGTTTGCCCCGTGAATAAAAGGCCTATGTTTACATTTGCCTATATGACCTATTCAGTTATCTCTTATCAAACTATCCAGCAAATATAATAATAATACCCTTCAAAGCATATATGCGTCTATACAATTTGTAAATTATAGACACAAATAACGTGTTTGAAAACATTGTTTTGCTAATATATGATTGCTTTAATTGATTGGTTGTCAACATTAGGATATGATTGTTGCTTTGCAATCGTAAGAGCCTCTATATGAAGATAATAAACTCTGGTTTTTCTGTGGCAAATTAGCCCTCGATGACACAAGACTATAAGTTGTGCCTTGATAATTGATGCGGGCATTGAAGGGTGAGTTATCTACCAGTCGTATCGACATGGGATGTATGTTTAATGGTATTTTTCCGTATGGGCCCTTCTTCGAAACCAAAGAGAATCCCCCTATAATGAGGCAGGAGGCAAAGTAATATATTTCACTGATGTTTAATTGAGGTTGATCATGAGAGCAGCTGTCTGTACTAGCATCATCTTGACATAATAAACAATTCGTCTATGATATCGAGTCCCAATCGATATTATAAGTCTTTTCCAGTGAAATGTTTTTCTTTCTAAAGGGACGTTGGACGTATTATTTTTTGGCTGCTTTTTTCTTATAATTGAAAATTGGCAGTAATCTATTGTTTTCCGAGACGCTGATTACTCACAACGATGTCCTGTGCAGATTATGCTCTTCATCTAATGAATAGTTGCAAGATCTCATTTCAACAACCACTTTGATAAAATAATTTTTACGAAATATATATGCCTCCTCTTAATACCCTTGAGAAATATATGGTTATCCATTTGCGGAAAATATACGGCTTTTGGTTTGGAAACACTGGATGAACGTGTAAGGGCATCCAGAGGTTACTGAATTATTATGGAAAGATGTTGCATGTTAATTAATTTTACAAAACTAATTAATTATTTTTTTTGGAGACGAAAACGCATGTCGGAATTTCGGTCGAGATTTCAAAAGTTCGCCCATCTACTGTCGGGTACCGCAATTGAACCGTCATGTAGGCTTCCCTATGAGCACTCAGGTACTCTCTAAGGCTGCATTCGAACAAAAGACAGCTACCCTTTAATGCTCTGAGCAATATTGGAAGCAAAAGAAAAAGAGGCGTTCACTGGGAGAAGTGTATTAGAGGTCGGACGTTTCGAGTGGACGTTTCTTCTACCCATCTTCAGAGAGTGAGAAGTCATACACACAGCTTTCCTTATATGGCGCGCATTGTTTGATTCTTGGCCCGCCAATACCGCCTGTGTGGCTGCATCCGACCCGCATGTCACCGTGACCTGAATCCCGTCCATCTTCGTCGGTTGCGGCAATAATTGACGGCCCCGATTTTCCCGCGTCGGGACTGTCCCCCGTCAAGAATGTCAGTAACAGCAGATAGGGGGAGGCAAATTGATGAGGCGGTTGACAGAACGCTCGGTAGACGTTCAGGCTTCTTGCACCTGCCTTGCCGTATGATCCTCACCGCGGCCCACATTTTCAACGGCGTCAAAGTTGAAGACGTGTCCCATTTGGGCGGCAAGGGTCCAAAATTCGAACGACCAACGTATGCTCCTGCATGCGCGTTTGTAGCCGTCGGCCGGTTTCTCCTACGTATTTGCACATTCCGCAGCTGCACTGAAGTCGGTAGACAACAGCCGACATCTGTAAAGGGATCGGGTCTTTTGACCGCATCACTTGCCGGCGGATTGTTGAGTCGGGCCTCTGGGCAACTCCTATTACCAGCGGCGCGAGGGATCTGGCTACGACGTCGGAGACCTCTTTCATATATGGAATGCTCCGCCACGATTTCTGCTGACTGCGTTCTTCATTCCGTTTCCTTTGCTTTTTTCGGCTCCGTTCAACGAATGTTCGCGGATAGCCGTTGGCGCCGAATAGTTCTTGGAGGAGGTTCATCTCGTCCAGTTTGGCGACTGGAGTGCTGCAAAAAGTTTCAGCTCGTCGGTCTAGCGTGCGTAAACAGCTTTGTTTGTGTTACAGAGGGTGGTTTCTGTTGTACCTAATTATTGCAGCGTGTTCGTCGCTTTTGTGTAGACTGACGTCACCAGTTTGCCATCTGGTTGGCGCCAAACAAGAACATCGAAATTTGGAAGTTTGCTCTCCACTTCTTTTTCCATCGTCAAATGTAGGTCATGAATGATTGAGTTCAGCAGCTCTTTATAGTAGTTCATTTTATCTTGACTGATGATTACGAAGGTATCATCACCGTTGCGCGCCCAAAACCTGGGTTTGTATTAATCGAACGGTCGTTTCTCCAGTTTTTGGAGAACAGCCTTGGCAATGATTCCGGAGATTCGTGAACCCAGCAGAGTGCCCTTAATTTGCTGATTTGTGATCCCCTCGAAAGTAAAAAAATGTTTGGAGGCAGTGCCCCATGAGTTGTATAAGATCCTGGGCGGCGAAAATTCCTCGAGAAAATAAGGGTAGTCACGATCGAACCGAATAAAAGGATGGTGTCATTTGACGTCCTCTCACTCTTCACGATCATACCACAGGTTCTTACAGTCGAGACGTTCAGTGACCTGCTACGCCAGAATTCCCAGGAGGTTGATGGCCAGCCCACAGCCTTTAACTTGGCGTAGGGAGCATCAGTCGGGGATCTCTCAGATGCGTCTGCACTTGAGAAACAATGGTGGGAAGAAGGGCCTCGACCAACTTATAATACTTGTCGGTTTCACGTGCTATCATGGCAGAGTGACAAGTCGCCTCAATGCGGAAAAAATAAAGCCCTGGCGCACGTTGCCAAAAGTCTGGGAGAGAAGAAACAAGTCCACTGAGAAAAGTAGTGGGATCGTTGGAATTCGTAGAGGTCATGATCGTAGATTGAATGAAGGCAAACGGACGGTATGCAAATAGAAAGTCAAAAAATCCAAGGTATAAGCGCGAACGTTAAAGGGTCACCACTGTAGAGAGCGCTAAAGACAGGTTCGTCATGCCCAGAATATGAATATCAGGATAAGACCAGATTTATGAAAGAATTAACAATCAAAAGTCAAACGACCTGACAATCCAACTCGTGGCAAGCGCGTCGCGTTGATTTGTGTTCCGTCCATTCATTTCAACAAACAGTAAGTTCACGAATGAAGAACAGGTAGCAAAAGGCAAGATAGTATGGCGCTTCGGCACAGGGACACCAAAGTACGGACTGGCTAAGTGACTCTTCGGTCGTCTTAAGTTCGTGACCGCTGGGTCACACTCCACGGTCTCTACGTCAGCACAATTCCTGGAGAAACTCAAAGGGGTAAGCCTCGCCAACAGGATTTTAAAAGTCAGTCAAGTCTTCGGTCGCCTCCAAAGCACAGTTTGGAATCGTCATGGTCTCCAACTGAGCACGAAGCTGAAGATTTACGGGGCCGTCATCCTGCCGACACTACTGTATGGAGCGGAGACTTGGACGGTGTACGCAAAGCAGGCACGCAGTCTGAATCAGTTCCACCTCAGTTGTCTTCGTCGCATCCTGAGGCTGAACTTGCGCGATCGAATGTCCGACACTGATGTGCTGGAACAGACGGGAATCCTCAGCATCTACGCCATACTAAGGCAAATGCAGCTGCGCTGGAGCGGCCACTTGGTGCGAATGGACGACGAACGACTACCCAAACGACTCTTCTACGGAGACGTCGCGCCGGGTTCTCGCCGTCCAGGAGGCCGGATTCGCCGTTGCAGGGATACCCTGAAGTCCTCCCTGAAACGCCTGCAAATCAACCCCAGCAACTGGAAGGAGCTAGCACTCGATCGACTGACCTGGAGTAGGACAGTGAAGAAAGGCGCTGCGATCTACGAAGCCAACCGCATCGCTGCCGCCAAAGCGAAACGGAAGGCCCGCAAATCACAACTAAGCCCAGTACGCAACGCCGCCGCACAACCGCTTCCAACGTGTCCTCGATGTCGACGGACATTCCGGGCTCGAATCTGACTTTTTGGACATCTTCGGATTAACTGCGCCTCTCGAACTGCACCAACCATCGTCCCCCCGCCCGCCTCTTCCTCCTCCTCCACTCTGACGCCAACTATCTCTAAAAATTCTTCTGACCCACCACTTCCTTCCACGCCATCTCCTCCTCCTCCTCCTGCTGCTGCTGCTGCTGCTGCTCCTCCTCCTCCTCCTCCTCCTCATCCTCCTCCTCCTCGCCCACTGCTCAAACGACGGCCGCTCAGGCGACTGTCCCGCGCGCAACAGCCGACACTATCACCACCTGCTTCAAATCTAGCGATGAGGATCTGGACTAAACCTGCCCTCACTGTGACCGCACCTTCACCTCACACATCGGCCTGGTCGGTCACTTGCGAATCCATCGCACAGAGACTGACGAACCACTGCCTGAAGCACCAACCTTCATCCGCCGCACTCGCCTCCACTGCCCACACTGCCCTCGCACCTTCAGGCTTCGCATGGGCCTTTTCGGCCACATGCGCATCCACGAGTGCGGCCTTCACCGCACTCTCGACACACCCACCACATCCAACACATCAACCGTGCACACCCCCGCCCTCGCTCCATCCGTATGCGCCACCACCACCACCGCCTCCTCTGTGGCTGACACTGACACCGCCGACTTCTCATGCCCACACTGTCCACGCACATTCACCTCGCGCATCGGCCTGGTCGGTCAGAGACTGGCAAACCAGTGCCTGGAGCACCCACCTATACCCACCAAGCTCGTCTCAACTCCCCACACTGCCCTCTCACATTCACGCATCGCATGGGCCTATTCCGCCACATGCGCATCCACGACGACCTTCGGTAGACAACCGCCGGTCACACCACACATTCACTCACTCCCTACCCCCTCCACCACCACCACCATCATCACCCCACCAGAAATCAACAGTCACACACATCATGCATCCAACTGCCACCTCCCACGCAAGTGGGCAGTCCACATCTCGACTCGGTCCCCATGCGGCTCCGGCTGTGCGAACGACTCGAGTCTGAGACTATCCCGAAACGTCAAGCGTCGTGGATAGGAAGTTTGCTTATTGACGCCCGCTCTCGGTTCACGCCTTTCGTCGCGTTGTGTGTGTGTTGTGTGGAGTGGCGGAGCGGTGGGCTGGGAACGGGCTGAAACAGCACCTTCGGCGGCACTCTCACGCAAGTGAGAGACACGCCGTTCAACCCCCGTTGTGTGAAATCCTGGTGTTATGGGTATGGGGGTCCAGGTCATGCCGTGGCGCGCGCAGTTATGGTCAGTCGACCATGACAGCCACCGCGCCCATTCCCCATTCCAGTCTGCTGACCGGCTCGGACAGCGGCTGGGGTGTGGGAGTGGGAAGGGAGAGTGAGGACGTCGACTCAGTGCAGTTCCCTCTCACTATAAACAATCTGACGCGCTTGAAGCTATCACGGAGTGCTAAAAGCCGTGGCTTGGAAGGTTGCCAACTGACGGGGTAACTTGGACATCCTCCTTGACTGTAGGCGGTCTGAGATTCAGGCTGCAATGGCTCCTTTTTAATGTGGCCTTTATGACACTCCCATCACAGTGTGGGATCCGAGCCAGGCGTTGGCGGCACGCCCAGGTGCGGCTTCGGCCGTGCCAGTCTCCAAATCTCTGTTGTGTTGGTTGAAATTCTGGTCATTTGTTGTGTGGACCAGGGGGTGTGGTTGAACGCCAAGGTGAGGATCCGTCCGAGCCATCCACCTGCGGCCTCCCTCGTCCCCGGTCTTCTGGACTCTGTCTTGACACCGGGCTCGGGCGAGGGAGGAGGAGAGAGTGTAGGTAGATGCTACGCAAGTCTAACGGCACTAAAACCCCTGCGTAAGTCACCGTCTCTGCTCCCATTGCTGCTGCAACTGTGGGGCACACGGTGGACATCATCAAAACCGATGGTCGAACTGTCAGATGGTTTGCCTCCTTACCGCATGGGCAGTTACAATTTTGGCGATATTGTACCTGACCTCTCCATTGCCAACAGTGTTGTTTTAATCTCGCGTGAGTTTATTTTCCCAAAACATTCTTACATACGCGACTTCTGAGAAATTTCGGAAACAGAAGCGTGCGAATCCTCTACGAAGTTGGATTCCAAATATAGTTTGCTTAACGACACTAACATTCTCTGTGTATAGTTTTAATCTCATTATATGCTGTGGGACAAAAAAACATTATCGGGTTTCAGTTCATCGAAACTAATAAATCAACTTCCTATGCCATAGACAGCGATATATGGCCAATTGGCAACCAATTTTGGATCGGATTTCTTCAGTGTCTACTTTAAACGACTTGTCGATATGCCATTTAATTTCCCTCAGTAGAATATAACGTCCTTGCAGAAGGCATGACACTTCGAACAAGGAATACGTTTCAATTTCCACCTACTGCAGATAAATATAAATTTATAACTAATGAGTATGATACCCAGATGTCACTTTTCCTGCCAGTATGCTGATCACGCGCATCTTCGAAAAATGTGCGCATCCGTGAATAAACCGTAACTGCAATATCTTAAAAACTGGAAAATGTACCAAAAAGATAACGAATAATCGGAAAACCGCCAGCTCAGTACAGGCAAACAAACTGTCTAGAATGTTAATGATACTAAGAGTTGTACAGCGGTCGTATGGTGTGCAGAAGTGAGTCCTTTGACCACTGTTGGAGTCGTCTTAGGTTCGCCTAAAAATGCTCTTCGTCATCTGCAGTTCGAATAACGTTCCAGAGCTTAATATCATCAGCGAACATGGCGATACCACAATCCAGTTCATTCACGCAATCGTTGACGTAAATAATGAACAAAGTAGGACCAAGAACTGAGCCTTGGGGAACACCGCTTTCAACGGCAACCTCCGCCGACTGCTGGCCACCGACATGGACAGTTTGAGAATGGCCAAATAGAAATCTTTGAATCCATTTGAAGAGGTTATCCCTAACGCCTGTTCGGCTCAGTTTGTGGAGGAGTCGCTGATGTGGGACACTGTCAAATGCCTCTTTCAAGTCGATATAGATTACATGCAGCGCATTGCCTTCATAAACTGACCGAGTATAACGTTCCAAACAGTTGAGCAAGTTAATCACGCCAGACCTGCCACTACGAAACCCATGCTGCGCATCAGATAATAAATTACGCTGCTCTAGGAAGCGCATTAGCTTTCGCTTGATTATTTTGTGCATGAGTTTGCAGCAGATGGAAGTTAGGCTAAGTGGCCTGTAATTGTTTGCAGAGGCCTTGCTGCCTCCTTTATACAGTGGTGTGATCCGCACATATTTCCAGTCGGTGGGCAAGCAGCCGGCTTCGAACAAGGCTTGGAAAAGCATGGACAATGGTTTGGCTAGTTCAGCAGCGAGCTGCTTCAGTAACTTAGGCGGTATATCGTCTGAACCTGGTGATTTCGACTCAGTTAGCATCACTAGCCCTTTACGAACCGTCACTTCATTTAAAGATGCAGACTCAATTTTTGGACCCTCATCGAAGTCGTAGTCGCGAGGAGGAAATGCGCTTTCGCTAGTAAAGATCGATTTGAAAAATTGTGAAATGTGCTCAGTTTTTTCTCCATACTCACTAATCTCTACGTCTCCGCTTGTCTTCAGGAGGGGGATTGGATTTCTGTTCCATGTGCTGCTTCTTATGTAGCTGTAGAATAATTGCGGATTTTCCACAGCACGATTAAGTATGTCTTTATCAAATGTGTGCCGTGTCCTGAAAGGAAGTCGCTTGACTGAGTTCTTCTGCGGTTTGTATGCGTTTATGGATACAGGATTCCCATCGGTAAGAGCCTTCTACCACAATCTCCGCTTTTTATTTACCACCAGTTTTAACGCCAGGGTCAGCCACCGGGGTCGATTGTTTAGACCCTTCCGTGAGAACGGGCAGTGGTTTGTCAAGAGAACATGCAATAATTCACTGAACAATTTCCAATCCACCGCTACTTTGGGAAAATGCTAATTCCCAGTCCGTATTGTTGATTTCGGCCTTCATTTGTTCGAAGTCCCCACGTCAAATATTTCTGCTAATTTTGGTGGGCTGTTCAGGCACGGAAAAGATTGAATTGCCCCATTGAAGTACGACTTGATGGCTTCGACCTAGACGAGTCAGACCTTGCACCTCATCTATTCTGGCCATCGATTTTGTGAGCTCGAGGTCAAAGTAGTTTGACTGCTGCCCCTCACGCACCCTCGTTGGAAACAGGACGTGCTGGATGAGAAATGACCTGAGTGCCATGTCCAAGAAGCGTCGGTCGAAAGCTAGTTCTGGGCCGCGCGCGTATAGTGAACTCCAGTCAATGAGCGGTGCATTAATGGCGCCCATAATTAGGACGTCAGGCCAGAGGGCAAATCGTCCTAGCTCCTCTAACAGACGAGCGTCAGCCTCGGGGTCACTGCTCCGTGGTCAATAGACGGCCAGAACTTCAAGGCTATGTGATCCTGGTACCCTTATGTTGAGACAGATAGTCTCGGCGCTGCATGCAAACTGTTCTGTTTTTTTCTGATACGAGCAGGCCGTGTTTTACTTACGTGCCGACCCCTCCTCCCTGACGCTCCCTCCTGTCTCTTCGAAACAAGTGAAATCCTGGTAGCATTAATTCACGGTCATCCACGTTTTCAGACAGCCCGGATTCTGTCAAAGAGACAAGGCAAAAGGAAAGTTCACAGATATGGATCTTCAGTTTGTCTAACTTGGACAGTATACTATGTACGTTGGTGTCAACAATGTTAGTTTCATACTTTTGGGGCATTTGATTATGGTGCCGCTTGAGATCTCATTTAAGGAACCTATTGTGCCCTCATCCGGACCGGTTCGGTGCAACGGATTAGGGAAGGGCCCTGAACTTTCTGATCGCTGTAGATCAGGAGATCCGTCTCGCCATTCTGCAACCTTGTTCTCGTTTCCAAAACTAATTGAAACGTTTTATTCTCTCAGACGGTGTGTAGTCCGGCTGAAAAAAAGCCGCGGTTGGTGTATTTGATTCGGAATAGTTGTGAGAGAATAAGTCCTACTTGGTTGGCTAACTTAATCTTCAGTGATCGGGGACGTGAATACACTGATAGAGCGATTGAGCGCTTTCCAAGACTATAAGGCTTGAGAACCGAAACTTCCTCATTGGGGCGCAGAAGTTCGTTGAGTAGGCATTGGAACATTTGCAGGTCTGCCGAGACCCGCACTTTGGAGGCAGTAGCTGTGGATTCAGGAAGTCTCCGAATGAGCACACATTGCTCTCTGCCCGGCGAATCTCTCGACATCACAGTGGTTTCGTGCTCCGACAAAGGCAATATGTTGTTGCCATGATCTGACGATGATATAAGCCGCGGTCGATTAAGATCCTCATTCGTCTCTGTTTTATTTGCATTTGCATCAAAGTCGGAAGTTTTTTGCGATTGGCTGAGGGTTTTAGGACCCACGCCATTTCCCGTGATGGACGACACGGTCACCGACGTGCCTGGTTTAAGTTCTTCGGAGGCATTCCTTGGAATCTGCT